TTCCCGTCTTTTGGGTCTGTGACCTGACCTGGGCGGTGTTTCACGGCACGCTGCCAGCCGCTGCCAGCGCTGATGGCACTTTTGGTTTCAATGGAGACATCAACAAGCCTATACCCACAACACTACCGAAGGCTGACCTTAGCTCGCGGAATGCGCTGTCAGCGGCTGTCAGCACGACCGTGAAACACCGCCCTGGAAGGTCAACCAATGACCAAGGACCTTAAAATCGGGTATCATCGGCTTCGTCTCGTCACTCACGGGCAACACGCCTGTTTTTTTTTCCGCGAGCTCTAGCTTAAAGGGACTATCCCACCTTCTAAAATGTTGTTAAACCAGTTAAATTGTGCCCGACCTTATAGATTGGATGACCAGGAACACGGTTCTGGCATTTATTTTTCATTAAACATCTTAGGCTTCCCATATTCCAAACACAAACTTTCAAATATGTGACGTCACAGCCCAAAATTACCTCCTTCCCCAGGCCACATTACTGTCATAAAGCTGATTCTTTTTACTCTGTAGGCACCACAACAAAGTTCAGACCAAGTTTTAAGCGATTTTTCAACGAACAAACCCATTTAAATCAGAATGACTAAACGAGGTGACGTCACACTAACGGTCGCTCCATGTTGAAGATAGGGCCTTGTGCAAGGCCCATTTTCAAATGAAGGGAACGAATTTCTTCAACACCAAGAGGCCGCGGGGGTTGCAACCTAGATAGATAGTGGTTTCTGAACCTCGCCGCAAACTTGGCTATCTCAACTCAAACCCCATGTTAAAGGTGGGATAGTCCCTTTAATCAGGGGCCGAACGGCAGGGGGTCCAACCGACACCTCCCAGCCCGCGAAGGCTGCGCCACGCACCGACCCGGAGCGGGCTAATTGGTCGACAAAAGCAATTTGAAGTGTTTTCAAAGTAATATTTAGGCTCGGGTTGGGTGGGCTACCATTTCTATTTTTATTTTTAGTTTAAAAAAAAATATCGTTTCAGGGCTGTGACGAAAAAATAAGTGGCCTAAATCCGATGAGAAAACAGGATTTGGGGGTACCCTAGGTTTGGTTACTTGCAGGAGTTGGCCCCCCCCCAAAACGCAAGTCTGGATCCGCCAGTGGCTTGGATTGTAGCCAAGGGTCCATTACGGAAGTGATTGCATTAATTGAGAAATGGTACAGATCTTACGTAACTCAACTCGGTAAAAAAGCTTATGCTCTATGGGAGTGGTTCTGTCAAATAACTTGTGAAGCTGCAAGCACACTCCGTTTACCAAAGCTAGCGCAGCGCTTGCCGCCCACGCCGCCGCCTGTTTTCATTTCATTGAAACGTGTGGAGGCAACCTCGCGATTGACAACATGGGAATTCCACCGGCACCCTATCCGCCCTCTGTGGGGCCGACAGGCAGCGGCTGAGCTCCGGCCGCCGCCGCTGGAGGTGTCGCCGCGCGCGCCGGGGGCTCTCACCGTCCCTGCGCCGGGCGGTGGACAGGTGAAGGGGGGGGGGGGGAGCCAGTGGGAGGGGCGGAGCCAGTCGGCCGGCCGGCAGAGCCGTCCGTGGCGCCGCCACCCCTCCCCTGGCCTCACCGGGCCGCCGCGCCGGTAACCCTCAGACAGGCGGCACCGCTCTGCAAGCCTTTGATGACATGACTGGCCAGATTTACTACCATTATCGTCAATGACTTATCGGAATGACTCTTGGCAACCGTTCTCCACTGTTCAGTGACCTATGTATCGAGTGTTTCCCTTATAGGAACAAACCGATCATTTGGTCAAATGTTGGAGTGCGTGCACACTGCGCCGGCTATGTCGACTCATCAGTGCAGCGGCGACTCATGCGATCCAGAGTTAGCAGTCAGTTACATAAGCTGGCGGCGGCTGATTGCTCGAACAGGACTTAGAGGTTCATGTGCGTTCAGTGACTGCATTGTGCAAGTTAACGTTTCTGTGATGCTTACGCAATCATAGGCGGCGGAACGGGGAAGGCACCGGGGCACCGTGCCCCCCTTTGATTTTGGCATTTTAACATAAGCCCTATGGCGTTGCATGGAAAGAATGAGACCAAAAGTCGGTAGTGCCCCCCCCCCCCCCGTTAATTGAAGGTGTTCCACCGATACTGTACGCAATAAATGTCGCATACGAAATGCACCATCAAAACGGGATAGTGTTAGTAAGTCTGATGAATTCACATCAAATGAGTCTGTAGCCAACGTGATTTGCCCTATCAGCATTTCCATAGTCGCCAGGTTTGAACTCCGGGCGTGAATGTCTGGCAGTCTTATAAATTTTCATATCATTTTTGACTGATGTTTGACGGGACTGGCCCTGTTTGCTCAACTTCTTTCTCGAAGACACTTTGTCTGCATAGATAAACAAAGTCGTAAAACCATTTAGTGCCTCGATACTCAATGTTGCACTTCCTATAGCGCCATTGTCGCGCGAGATGATTTTACAATGGACTTAGGCGTCAACTCACGAAACAGCAAGCTCGCTGCTGTATAAATAGTATTTCACGAGTGCCTGACAGGCTATTAAAGAGACAAGAATAACACTCGAAATATCACGTTACCTTAAAGTGAGAGCTAAGGCCCAAGTCTACTATAGCAGTGGGCCAAAACGGTGCGCAAGATCAAGATTATCTATGACCCGGGTTATATAACCTGTAGAAAGCGGCCGGCCTGACTGGTTCTGCTTTGCCCTCAATGGCCTACAGTGTCACTTCATGTCCGGAAAGGATTCTTCTTCTAATGTTCATTACCGCTCTTTTAATATCCTGCTGCAAAACCCATGTCACTCTCACTTGAAACCACGTTACGCTGAGGCCGTGCGTATTGGATCCTTTCTTGTACGGATGCTGTGTTTTGTGCTTACTTATTGTCACGCATTTGTTCTGCTGAACCATACAAAATTATCTCAGATAGCAACACGTCATATTGTGTTTCATAGTTAGGTATATATTGAGCGAACTTACTGGAAGCGATAAGCTGAATTTTCGAGCATTTTTTCTTGCTGTGAGAGGTCTGATATGATTGCCATTTTTAATAATTGGTATGAAAAAAACTGAACATTGAGAAGGAGGGTTAGTACCTGAATAACTTTGTGCAGCTGGATTAATTGATTTTGTCTTAAAGCTATCGGATACACACAATCCAGGCAATATGTTCTTTTTGAAAGGTTGAAATACATGTTCAACGCATGTAACTTTAGCTCGTTTTTCTTAAGTTCGACCCTCACTGTAAACAACTGCACGATATTTTCTGAGAAAATGACTGAGAAAACTGGTTGATGCACATTGTATTGAAGAGCTAAATAATGTTTTCAAAATGTGCTCTGAACACCAACAGAGTAACACCGTTCGATTGATTGATGAGTTCACTTATAATTCCCGACAAGTCGAGTATAACTTTGGAATTGTAAATGTAGATTAAACTCATTATGTATCGGTGATAGGAAGTAAAAAAAAAATGATCAACCTGATCATCTGTGAAAAGAGATGAGCGCTAGCCAGTTTTCTAAGTAATTCATCTCACAAATCTCGTGCTGTGTTCACAGAGACGTTTAGTGACGGTAGAACTTAAAAAAATGAACTATATATTTTTTAGCTTGTCTTTAAACATTTTTCTTCTAAAAAGGCAAAGCTTTCCTGACGGTTTGTTGTTACAAAATGTGATAACAAACAATTTCCGTATGCATGTGTACTCTGTCTCTTATGTAGATAGTAAGATAAAACTGCATAAGGCAGGTATACCATTAATTAGAACAAAGAATATGCAGATAATTCATTTTGCATTGTCACAAAACTATATCCAGTATACACATCGGTCAATAAGCTATAACGACTGCATGCTGCATGCTTCTGTTTGGGGTCAGGAAAGCTAAATTTATTTCTCAGTTTTTTCCTTGCGAAAGGTTCAAAGGCCATTTTCCTCGAGGTGCTTTCGCAAAAAGGGGAAAATATGTTGAATTTCATAGTTTATGGGTTGGAAGATATTTTCCATATTTACCACTAGCCAAAATATCCTTAGAAAGTAACATAGGCATGTCCTATTTGGTAAAAACCTCTGACCCCGTTGTGGCTTAAGTTAAAGGTAAATGAGTATCAATTAAGGAAATAATCCACTTGAATTTCTTAGACAAATTGAAAGGAATATCCACGACAGAGCTGCCAAAAATATTGCCATGAACGCTTAGTATAATAAACGAATATAATGAACCCTTAGTATAATGAGCGTTTGGAATTTGAATTCTCAGTACCGAATGATATGATGCTTTGGGATACAAGCCAAGCAAATAATAAAAATAAAATAGAATATAGTAAACAGCTATGTATGTAGCCCAGCCTCGGGCGGTGAAGCATAAACGTATAGGAAGATATTTTGAAAACAGCATAAAATGGTGTTTGCAAATCAAAATGGTGAGCCTGATACTTCCGAGGTGTAAACCATGATCAGTTAACTGAAGGATGAATGATCTAACAGTAGCGTTGCGATTGTTTTAAATCAGTCGCCGCCGGATAATTGAACCCTAATTTCAAGTAAGTTTGCTGGCTGACCTTTCCGAGCGTAAATGTTTTATTGATGAATAAAAAAGCTATAAATTCCTGTTGCAATCTTGAGTGAGGCTGAAAAACACTTAGAAGAAACCTGCTGCTCTTAAACTATGAATAATTGCCAATTTGTATGTTAGAACAAGACGGTCAAAGCATGTCCCCATTCCACCGCTGGCTCCTGGCGGCTTTTTAACAGATTTTCCGGTCAAAACCGTAAGCCTGGATTTGTCGCACGGGGAGTGTCCATTAGCTTCTTACCTACGTTCCATAAATCTGTCTGCACATCAAATCTTGCAGAAGGCATAAATGAATGGGTGCAAGAATGCCCTTGCAAAATTAAATGCAACTCGTCATGTTTCGGAGCGGAAATAGAGCTTGCCACTGTTCGAGGTGCGTAGCTACCAAGGGCAAAAAGTGACCCATGATGTCGGTGATGAGTGTCGGCGCGTCATTGAACCTACCTCGTCTCCGGCGACTCCGTCCACTGTCCGCGCACTCAGCCCACCAGCAGGTCCTCGATCTCCGGACCGCTGCCTGATCGGGGGCAGTGCGCGATCTGGCCACCAGAGGCGCTGGCTGCGCACAGCCCTCCGATCGGCCCGGCCGGCTCGGTCGGCGCGCACTGAGTGATCATATGGCCCACCCCGGGCCGTGACACGACCTAGGCACGTGGGCAGGTTCTCGGCACTAACCGGTAATCGCGCCAGACACGTGCTCGATATTGGAACAATTGCCACTTTCTAATGCATTTCGATGATGCATGATAAGGTCTTCAACTGTATTGATCCGCCAGTTTTAATAAGAAACACAATCCTAACCCGACTGTAGTGTGAAACAGTCTGTGGTTAAAAATTGAGCATGTTCTACTGTAGTTCTAATTTGGTTTCCATATTACTTTCTACTGCTCTCAACACCGGAAATCCAATAAATGAATCATTCATATATGACGTTACAACATGACGTTAGAACTTAGAACTAATTAGCGGCGCGGTGTTCAGTTATTAATATACAGCATGCAACTAAATGTATCTTAAATCCGCGCCGGTTACTGAAACTTCACCAGTTCAAAAACTAAGGATATGAGGATGACACACCGACGGCAAGGTTTTGGCGTATTCAGCCATGAGGCTTTGGGGCTTCTTTCAGAGCCAGACCTACAGACACGCCAGCTTTCGAAGGGGGACAGGAGCCGCCGGCTCGCGCACCCGCCATGTGTATTGATGCGGCATCAATACACATGGCCGGTATGCGTGACATTCGCCACATGTTTGTGCATTAAAGTGAAGAATTTAGAGGGAAAGGCTATCGATGGTGTTTGGTAGGTACTAGGTAGTGATAGACCTACCCTACTTCAAATGGTATCATTTTTTTCAATGAAAAGGTTCTGGGAAAGGTGCAACAAGAATTTGAATGCGTGAAATTCCAGGAACTTTTTTATCATTATATATATTTTAACCGAAAAATTTATTTCTCCATACATGTTACCGTTGCCTCTAAAGATGAACCGTAGATAAAAAGCTACCATAGTTTCTGACTTTTAACCCGCGCCCGGCTGGGGGTCCTGGATTTCCACGCCCTGCTGGGGGGGGGGGTGTTTGAACACCCCCCCTTCTAACTCGGCTCCTGGGCCGGCCACGTAGCGATACGCGGAAGGCGGCGTTCGAAAGAGCGTCAAAAATAATGACGAAATCACTTCGGTCAATTTTTTGGTCAGGTCAAAGGTCAGGTCACCAGAGGTCATTGAAGGCAAAATTTCGCCGATTTCCGGGTCGAATGTCGAAAATTTCCAAGAAGCCAACGCATAACTCGGGAACCAATAGAGCTACAGCGCCGCGGAAAAGCGCATTCGATAGCCCTATTAACGCCCTTTCTGAGTAATTCTCTCAGATTTGACCTAACGTCAACGGTTTTGCCTGCAGGGGGCAAAAACTGCAAAAATAGCCGATTTTTTTCGGAAACAGTTTTTCTGCAATAACTTTTGACCCAAGCCTTGTACGAGCTTACTTTTACCGGCATCGTGTTCCTCTCGTCAATACGCATCGAATGAACTATAACTTGACCTTGAAAGGTCAACTTGAAAATTTGACCTCAGGTCAAGGTCATGACCTGACCGGAAAGGGTCATGTTGCATATCAGTCGATCCGTATCGTCGAGCTGAACACATCTAAGGCGTTTTCATCGCTCTAGCATGCCTCTATCAAAAGTTATTCGAGAAAAACTGTTAGATACCATTCGTGACCTAAGATGACCTCAGGGCATAAACAGGGGTCACGGACACCATTTTCATGTTCAGTGTGTCTAAACCACTTGTAATTCGGTGTTTGGGAGTGTTTATGATGTCTTTCGTCCAAAAGAGGCGCATTTCAATTTTCTCCCATTGACTTATAATGGGGAGGTCGCAAAATTGACCTGACCTTAGGTCATCGATATCAAAATTCTGAGATAAAAATTTTGTACATGCTATTGCTCTTAGCAATCGCTGAAAGTTTCAAAGCGATCGGTCACTCGGTGTAGCTATGACAGACATTGAAACTTTTTATGAGGTGAGGTCACTTCAAGTGACCTGGTGACCTGACCTTGAATGACCTTGGTCTGAAATTTTCACAACATGTGTAGAATTGATGTATGATAAGGTGTACCAAAAACGGCGGCGCGGAGCGCCGCCGTTTTTGAGATATTCGCGAAAAACCACAAGGGGGGGTGTTCAAACACCCCCCCCCCCCCAGCAGGGCGCGGGTTAATATTCATAGTTCAGACTCTATACGAATGGTTTTGAAGGCTTGAAAAGTCCCTTCACATCCGTGAGGTTGGCAGATTCACAGTTTTCCCCTGGTCTGGACACTGATCGCCCCAACCGGAGCTCTGAACGAGGGGGGGGGGAACCGTCATAGGCGGGCTTACCTTTCTGTGTTACACGTAAAGTAATTTATTTTTGCACAAAAAATTAATAATAGGTAACCCTTTGCCCATAACTAACAGAAGCAAAAAACGAGTCCATTTCTTATTTGTTTTGTCTTCCTTTAGTTATGAGCAAAAGTTTTTCATAATTATGATGATAATCACGCTCACGGCTTAAGATAACGTTTCAAACCATTCAAACTATATTTACTTTGCTTATTTACGAAATCATGTATACGTGGCACACCCAATGACGAATGAGGTCATCATATTATAATTTATAAAACAGTAGATGCGCACAGCGCCAAAACGCTAAAATATGGGTGACAGGTGCTCATCTCTAGATGATGCTCAGCACGCTTGATCTCCCGGGAGCTCTGGTGCCATATGTCGGCATCGCAGTGAACATTTATGAAGATGTTACAAGCTTCTGGGATGCGGATAAAAAGACCACGCTTGTACTATTAACCCTTGCTTGGGGAACATGAAATGTGGTCTGTTGACGCACAGATCTCGCTGGCACAGCGAGCGGCAAATACAAGGAAGGTACAATGATATTATTTTCACGTCGGTTGAACATTGAAAATCTTACAAATAGCAGCATGAAAAAGCAGGAAAATAAGGAAATCGGAAAGCCTGAGCCGGGCGCTGCGAAACCGGTTCCATTCCAGCAGGACCAGTCCCGTAACATGACACAGTAGCATGATAGCGTCCCTCACGGGTTATACAAGCCTTTTGATTGCAGCGTTATATAAAACATTCATTGGGATGACGTGTCTAGTGGGTTACGTAAACTATTTTCGTAAGCGGCGTACACTCCGGCCATGCCACGAGGCTGAACTATAAGTCAATACCTTCGCCTTTTGCATGGTATGCTTGCTTACTCGTATGTTCCTTCATGCTTCAGTTCTCGCTGAGGGGTTAATGGGGCCATGGTATGACCTCGTTCTTTTTATGTGGCATCTGCCGACTTCCCACATGGCTGCATACGATCCACATGGTGAGGTTACAGCGTGCTTTCATAACATATATGCAATTGGACTCACAGTTTATTGCTGTGTTTAATAGATTCATTCTCTCATTCATTTACAAGCAGCTACCAGGTCTGGGCTAAGCGAAGGGGGAAGAGAGAGAGAGAGAGAGAGGAGAGAGAGAGAGAGAGAGAGAGAGAGAAGGAGAGAGAGAGAGAGAGAGAGAGAGAGAGAGAGAGAGAGAGAGAGAGAGAGAGAGAGAGAGAGAGAGAGAGCCTCCGGCTTCGTCAGGCGATTTCAATCAGCGATCGATGCCGCACTGCTGACCGATGCGTTTATGGGGGCAATCTATCGCGGTCCTGCTGCGAGGTTCAGGAGAACACACACAAACAATGGCTGGCAATCGGCAGTGGGTTCGCCACTCGCCAGTGCCACGAGCGGTGTTCTGTGTTCTGGCCCGACCCGGTCGATCACTGCACCGGTTGCTCAGCGCGATCTGGAAAATCCTGGTCTCCGCTCCCCAAGGCTCCTCCCTCTCCTCCTCTCATTTCATCTCCTCTCCGCTCGTCTCGTTTCGTTCCTCTTCCTTCCCTTCTCTTCTCCTCTCCTCTCGTCTCTGTCGTCTCTTCTCTCCCCCTCTTTCTCTCTCTTACTCCCTACCGCACTGTCTGTATGTACGAGTATGTCTGTCTCTGTCTCTCTCTTTCTTTCTTCTTTCTTCTTTCTTTCTTTCTTTCTTTTTTCTTTCTTTTTCTTTCTTTCTTTCTTTTTCTTCTTTCTTTTCTTTCTTTTTTTTCTCTCTTTCCTCTCTCTCTCTCTCGCTCGCTCATGCTCTCTTTCTTTCGTCCTCTAGCGAGCACATCTATCGAAGAGATTGGTTTGAGAAGTAAGCGGCTTCAAGTAATAGGACAAGTTTAAAGCGAGCCTTTTGCCAGGAGGTAGTGCAACTCCTTCGCTTTATTTCTCACATTAGCAGTTAGTTAGATTTAGGTCGGCCGTGGCACCTCCCACCAGGCTCCCGCCTTTTTTCAGCGAAATATTATCAGAAGTGAGAAGATCATGACATTGATGGCCTCATGGTCGCTCCTCATCAGCTCAAATCAAGATCGCTGTTAAATTCTTTTGTCCGCTATCATGGTTTGTGTGTTCAGTGCTGAATTATGTGCGTTCTTCTATGATGAAACTGTCCCATTATTTGCTCTCTCAAGAAGATGGCTCACGTACTACCGGCTAGTTAAAATTCGTATGGCTATATTTTATCGGCCTTTTGTGTGACACAAACCCATAATACTATAAATAGACGGTGGCAGTGATCGACAATAAAATCCTATTGGAAAAACGTGCTCCGTATTTTACCGCCAGGTGGGCTCCGCTTTTTGCCCTCATTATGTCGTGCGCGAGTGCTGCTTTTGGGCACGGTCCGATAAGGTCATGTCAACCCATCATTAGTAGCGCATCACTGGGCGAGGTAGGGAGGGGGACACCGCCAAGTCACCCCTCGTTTTCTGCAATATTTTCCAAACCTGTGAACCTATCGCCACCAAACTTGCAGTGCCTTCTGTTGCATCAAAGTGGCACCTCTCCGTCCTAGGAAAAAATCGTTTCTAGCATAGGTTGGCTAAAAAGGATGCCCCAACTCCCCCAAAAAAAATGCCCGGGCATTCAAGGTCCGTTTGATGAGTTACATTATCCACTTACACTACCCGTATTTCCGTGTTTGATTTCAATGTTCAGGTGAATGGTCAGACATAAATTGGAAA